TTGGTTCACACCGAACAGCAAGCTATAAAGGGCCCCAAATATTACTAGTGTAAAACCATTCAAACGGGAAAACCAACGGTCTAATCTATATAAAAACGAGAAACGATAAACACTTATGAACCACATCAACAAACGACAACTACTGAACATCAGATTCCTATCATATCAAGATTCAGGAAACTCTTCAGTATTTATTTTGGTTATCTTTTTTAAATAATTTGAGATATTCTATACGGATTTCAGATATCTCAAAGTCTATATCAAATGTATTCTCTATCTTTGTGTCCTAAATACGATTATGAGCATGAAATAATTCATATAGCGTTGAAGACTAAAGTTGACCTGTATTTTTGTATTTTGTCGTTTGATCTCATTGATTGATATAACACTTTTCCCCATTACAATGTAATAGATCGGAGAATTTCCATTATATTTTATCCTACAAGAGTTTTGAACGTTAAAGAGACATAATCTGTCGAATTCATGTTCACCAAATTACTAAAATTCTGATATTTGATTTATAACATACCAAACTGTATATATCCAAATTACAAAAAGTAAAAAATAAAAACAATTAACAATGCATTGGCTTGATAATATGTATCAGCATTTTAATCATGTAAATTTTAGTCTTGACGCCATCTAATTAATCATCGATGTGACCTCCCAAGTCCCCCGACGGTCAAATAACCCAATATAAATTAACACGTAAATATGAATATAAACACATAGCGGCCATGTGCAATTACATTTTTCTAGGTCTGTTTGAATTCATATTATAGCTTCAAAAATATGTTAATCATCGTTTTTACATGTAAAGGAATGATTTTTTGTGGAGTGAATCAGTCAACCAAATAGTTCAACCTTGTTTTACTTTCAATGTTGACATTCTGAACACGCTTAGTACATGCATAACCCATCCCCAGCTAAGGAGTTTAATTGAAATTCACATGAATACGGATTCATTTAGGTTAAATTATTGAGTTGCAAGCCAATAGTACTTCAGCGATGCTTTTGTGCTTTCCATTTCTGTGTAGCAACATTTCAGTAGCGCCCGCATACGGAGTATATGTCTCCCAGTTGATACGATATCCCAGGCTTGTATTTCCTATAATGATTATCTTGATATAGGGTTGCTGCTCACAAGGAAGCTATTAAACCAAGAGTTTCAAGTGGTGAAGTTGAAATCATCCCTCCGTAAATTTTACGGATGCCATCACGAGTTGGTTGACCGTTATGGAATATTCTTTTCACAGATGACAATGCATTTGTTCCAATTGACGTCACAACAATTCCATTCCCTTTTCCCCGAATGTGACTTACTTAATTAGACTTATCACCGAGGTTTGTACTAACATAAAAAAAAACACGAAGGTGCCACATGTGGAGCAGGATCTGCTTACCCTTCCGGAGCATGTAAGATCACCCCCAGTTTTTGGTGGGGTTCGTATTGCTTTATTTCTCCATGTTCTGTTTTATGTACTGTTGTTTGTTTGTTTTGTTTTCATTTTTTGCCATGTCGTTGTCAGTTTATTTTCGACTTAAGAGTTTGAATGTCCCTTATGTATCTTTCGTCTCTCTTTTAAGCTTATTTTGACAAATTTGGACAAAACTGCTTATAACAAAATATCATTTCAAAATTCCACGTTCATTATTATTATTATTATTATTATTATTATTATTGGGTAAATGTAGAATAGACAATAAACAAAAGCCGGTAAAGATGTCAATACTTGCTATCTGAAAAAGGGAAATCAGAACCTCGAATTCCAAGACGAAGTCAATCAGGAAACTTTCGCAAAAAGAGAAGTATGGTGTGCGTAAAAGAGACATCATCCCAACGACAAAAAAAGCCGAATGCAATTTAAAAAAAAACGGATTTAACAACAAACAGGTGTATCTCTTGATAATCTCGTCTCTAAAAACACTTTTAAATTCAGGTTGTTTTGTCTTTAACATTAAGGTTCCTTTTTTGTCATTTAGCTATCCAAATATACACCTTATCGCTATTTGGAAATCTGAGCCGGTTGACCCGAGAATCTACCCCGATTGAACTTTTGACGTCATACAACAATCCCTTTTTTATTGTGGCGTCAGATATTTTTTTATTGTGACGTCAAAATTTACGGGAACCTTTGTTATGTCTAGTAGTGGCGGACAAATAGCGATAAGTTGTATTAAATCACCCTTGACTTTCACATTCTAGGTTTTTAGCGATCCTGATGAAAGCAAGTCCAGATCAGCACTTCGGACGAATCAAATTTATGAAATGATTTTATTATTTTGAAGATTCATAAAAGCAATGCACTCGCACCTTACACTGCTCATGCATAATTTCTAAGACTCTACGGTTTTGGCACATTCTGAAACACTTACAAGTAATAAACGTATTATTTAAGGTACCAGGTACGTAAATGACGGATTTTCAAATTTTACAACCAAATACAGCATGTAGAAATGCATAAAAATATCAGAAAAAACGATATTTATATATTTTTTCTTTTAAATCTTCCGAGATATATCAAATTGAATATGTACAAATTAAAATAACATTTTCTCTGAAATTTGTCCAACGATTTTTTTCTTTAAAAAATGAAAGTTTCGTTTCGTTGAATATAAAACGTATAAGAGATCGCCTAAATTTGATTTATAAATCATTCAAGTGTGTCTGATATATTTTATAACATCGAAAATAGGATTCCAATGCACAATAAATACACGACGCCACGCTTAATATTTTAGCCTTTTCTGCCTTTTACGCGATGCGCAGAAGATTCAACAATGCATACACATAACGAATCGGTGACCCCTTGAGGAAACTGTTTATCAATTAAAATTGAAAAAAAAAACAGTGGCATTGACATTTAAAGGGAATTAATAGAAAAGTATTCCGAAAAATAAAAACTTAATGAAACATAAAAAGGACAATAGGCATCACCAAAAACTAATGGACAGTGAAATATACCACATCAACCATTAACAACCGCCTGAAGGTTAAAAAAGCTTGACTAAATACGTCACACAAACATCAACGAACATGGTTCAAAAAGCTTGACTAAGTACGGGCACAAAAACACCAACGAACATGGTTCAGATAGTCTGACTTAGTATGGCTACACAAAGAACAACGAACATGGTTCAGATAGTCTGACTTAGTACGGACACACAAACACCACGAACATGGTTCAGATAGCCTAACCTAGTACGGACACACAAAACCAACGAACATGGTTTAGATAGCCTGACGTAGTACGGACACACAAACACCAACGAACATGGTGCAGATAGCCTGACTTAGTACTGCCATAAAAACACAAACGAACATGGTTCAGATACATTTAGACGGACTCAGTTCGGGCATACAAATCCAACGAATATGATTCAAATAGTCTGACTAAGTACGGCTACGCAAACACCAACGAACATGGTTCAGATAGCCTCACTTATTAGGGACACATAAACACCAACGAATATGGTTCAGATAGTCTGACTTAGTACGGCTACACAAACAACAACAAACATGGTTTAGATAGCTTGACTTATGACGGACACACAAACACCAACAAACATAGTTCAGATAGCCTGAATTAGTACAGACACACAAACACCAACGGGTTAGATAAGTTTATATTTGCACATACCTCAGACTTCGTCTATCTTGAGCATGTGTTGTAAAACTAAAATATGCACAGGATACCCTTTAAGTTTGCAAGGTTATGAAAACGTGTGCTCGCAACTGCAGGATGCAAGCCTGGATACTGTTGGTGATTAAGCACAAATATGTGTCATTTTATATTTGTTCTTCTATAGTTTTTTGCTTTCATCGCTGATCAAGATTGAAAAAAATAAAGGGAAGGGTTGAGTACTTCACAAAAGTTTTACCATCCAGATTTGTTCTGTACTTAGCCAGGAACAGTGTCAGTGATTGATTTTATTTATATAAAATGTTGTTTTTGGGGATTTTTTCTTTGAAAAAACTTGGTGTTGGCAGTTTCAGATAGTTTCTTAGACATTTATTTAAAACTTGTCTTTTTTTACTTGGGCAATGATAAGGGTGATAAAGGTAGTGAATTGTCTGACGTTGGAGATCATTAGCTGACCTGTAGGTGGGTTTGCTGATTTAATTGTATTGATGGGTAAATGTCATTTTGATATAAACAAATCAGAGCATCTTTTTTGGTTCATATCCCTATCTTTTAAACCTATTTCCATGAAGTCGTATTAGCCCTGCTTTACGTTAATTTTATTTTATCGAGTTTACTTTCTATTTATTTTAGATTTTCCTTATCTTAAAACATCGTTTTCTTTGCTTCACCAGTACATGAGAAGAAATGCAGCTGGTGGATTTAAAAAGGTATTTGCTGATCTTTTTAGGTTGCAATTCTGTAAATATAGACAATACAATTTCCCATAGGAACTCCCTTTGCGGCTAAAACTGTGCCACTTTTACTAGGAAGTTTCGTGAAAAATTATATCCCAGAACGGAAAGTTGATATGCACTATTATTTTATTCAAAGGTCAAAATATAGGGCTGTGCCGCATATTTTCAACATTTATATGACCTGAACTTCTAAGAGTTTAAACTTATACTAAAATTCTATACTACCCCTACCTCCACTTTTGGACCTCAAGCATTAAATTTTAGGCGCTATCATTATTTTCTATACTGGTAACATTCTCAAGTTATTTCTCTATGAGATGAAACACAGATATCATATCTGGGAACCAGTACGTTAACAAATTAACATATCTATGAATATTATATATCTCCCCAAAAGAGGCGTGGCTTGTGAAACAGCTGTATTTACAAAGTGCAACCTTTAACCACATTGTTTACACAAATGTCAGTATATGACTTTTTAACATTTATCAACAAAACAACTTTTGATCAATTGTTCGTAAAGAAATATGAAATGCGTCATTAATCTTGATTCATATGTGATGATATATAGATAATTGTACAATGCATCTTATTTTTATTACCAAATTAGCAATATATAAGACTTCTAGATTCATACGTTCAGCACCTCACTGGACCACTGTACACAAGCTGATCAAGTAAGTCTTTATATTTCCCTCAGTTTGAGTTTATTATTGGCAACTAAATTTATTCTTTCTTTACAACTATTGTATCTCCTTCTAGTACTTAACTTTTCTTTGACTTTTGGAATAGAGGAATATTTGTGTTTTTCGTTCTTGATATTTGGTAAGATACTATTATAACAATCACTACTGGACGAAAAAACAACTGTCCATACCAGTAACAGTCGTTCTAAGACTGATAATGTTTGTTAAAGTTGTAACAGTTGTTAAATTTCACTGCTGCAGTTATTTTGTAACTGTCACAACTTTAAAAGTGTTTGTCTATAACATAATTCGACTGTAACAACGCTAGAAATAACTGTCACAGTCATTAAAGGACTGATACAACTATGTAAAAGTTGTAACAGTTGATTTACAACTGTCCCAACTCGAAAAACGTTGCAACAGTCATAAATAAACTGATTAAACGCCTAAAAGGTTGTCACAGTCATAATAAGACTGCTGCAACCATTTGAAAGTTGTAACAGTTATTTAATAACTGTCCCAACACGGAAAACGTTGAAACAGTCATAAATTAACTGTTTAAACGCTGAAAAGGTTGTAACAGTAAAAATATGATTGCTACAACCATTACATAGTCAAAGCTAATTTATAAGTGTAGCAACTTCCAAACATCGATCGTCATTAAGACTTTAAAGTCACGGATACAAAATTTCTGACAGTTAGGGATAGGTTAAATTATTTGTAAAACAATTTTACCGTGTGCAATATAAAGTTGTGACAAAGAGACACAACTATTACACCCATTTAATACATTAATTTTAGATAGAAATTGATTTAAAAAAAATAGTATTTTGAAATATTTGCCGCTTAACATTTTGTTATTCCCCGCTTATTTAGTTAATGTGCTAAATTTATATAATTATTTAACACTCCCTCGCCTCTCATCTCATCGAACAAAATCGGAACCAGCACTAGATACCTGCAATTTCACACAGGACGGTTTTATTCGCATTTAAAACTACTTACAGATAAATTGAAAAAGGTTGCCCAATATATTTGTAACCAAATGTATCGTTAACTGTATTAACAGTTGACAATTTTCAATATCATCTAAATAAAAACTTTTTAATTTTTTTAAATTAGTGAGGTGTGAAATCATTCATGCATACAATGTTGTCTTCAATACCCAGTTTTACGAATCACATTACTTCATAATAACGGTCAATATACATGATATATACTGTAAACCTAGCGGGGAACTCCGAATATACACACTTGTCAAACTTATCCCCATATTAAACTGCTTAATTTTTCCCCCGAGGGCTTATTTCACACACTTATTTTGAGATTTTATTTGGGGCTACATTTTTTTTTCTTGCAAAATTATAAATATTGCCGTATTAACCATTTTGATTTCTATACATATAAAAAAAATCAAAGCAATGATGAACATTTAACGCATCTTTTGCAGCAATGGAAAAAAAATACTCTTAAATCTATCTAAATTTAATTTATTTTACTGTATTTTAATTTTGAATAGTTCAATATTGACTCGACTTTGTACTGTATATTGTAACGAGTGGTCTATTTGAATTTCAAATGTCCTTGATAAATAGCACTTCGGCATTCATTCATGATTGATTGAGGTAAAAATATTATCACTCGAGATCATTCATATTTTCACCGGATTTTTCTCAACCAATTTACCAAAAGTATTTATAAATAGATGGACGTACTGTAAGACCGACAAAATAACTAGCGCCAGTGAAAGTTGAAATGTTCAAAACAAGAAAACTCGCATTGTTTCAGACAAGGAAATCAAATCTTCTTTTATTTATTCACATAACGGTTTTAAAAGAACTTGTTGTATTCTTTAGAATCCGGTCTTGTTAAATTCTACGGACTGACATCAGATTTCCTTTTGTGGTTTCAGTTGATCAGATGTCGTACTAACCATGCTAACGTTTATCCAATATTAAATATTATTTCCATTTTTTAAATTCAATTTATTAAATCATATAAATGCTTGTCCAATATTGATATATTATTCTGACAACCAGTAAAGAAAACTAACAATTTTACTAGATGTAATGGAATTTTTTAAAATGGTCACATTTATAAATTAGGCAAATGGGTCCATTATTCTAATTATATTCATCCTCAATCAGTGATGAAGACAGTACATATGTATTACCCGCAGAACTTATTTGGGCGCCCCTTAGAAAAAAAAATCATTGATTAATTAAATCATACAATTTTTTTGACTCGCTTTAATAGAAGGATGGACTGAAAATAAGTATTCTGGCCCTGGTCTGAGTGAAAATATATAATCTGGCTGCCTATATGTTGGAAATTAATATTCTGACCTTATCAAATTTGCCAATTCAGTTGCTAACTTCTATGTCATTGGGTTTTCGGTGAAAAATTGTCTTATTCTTAAACAAGTACCACATCATTTTATTTGTTAAATAATGATCTTATTAAAAAATTGCAGTTCTATTTAACATTGTTGTGTCGATATTTTGAGCAATTATGATTTCAGCCGTGTATCACCATCAATGATCACTTGTTCTCCAATGGATGAATCTGTCGTAAAGTTTTCACGTGTTTACGTAGACGTATAGATATGTGTTGACCTCTAGATTGTTATTAAGTTGTTGCTGGGTTGATGTCATATAGTAGCAGTTTACTCAATTTCACCAGTATATTATCATATGTTTTAGTCTATTTGTCATGTTTGTATTACATAGGCTTTTCACATCATGCTATATATATATGTATAATGTACAAACATAGTCGATACATTAATTCTAATTGTACAGCCACAAAAAAAATGTCCAATTCTCATCCCTTTCTTAAAACCACTTTTTGTATATTTTTTTTTCATTTCAGGTTGGTTTTTTTCTTTTGTTAAAAGTTTTTAAAATCATAGCAAATTAAAACCCCCAAAATATGCTTCCACATATAAATATTATAATTAAATTATAACAAACAGCTCACTAATAGTGCATAATACATGTATGCCTTTGAAATGCTTATTGTGTATATAGAAAATGTTGCTAATCATCTTGGGATATATATTTAGAAGGCATTTATTCAAAAGCAGATAGATTGGATTTGTAGAAAAACATGAATAAGGACAGAAGCCTGTTAATATTGGATCACCTATAAGTCTTTGGTAAACCATAATACATTTGTCATCACTCATGTTTCAATGGGTCTGTAGGTAAACATAATAAAAATGGGAGACATCAGAAATGATCATCCAGGAACTATTTTTTCAAATTCTAAACATGCTTAACTGTAATTTTGAGGCCCTATATAGCTTGCTGTTCGGTGTGAGCCAATGCTCTGTGTTGAAGACTGTACTTTGACCTATAATGGTCTACTTTTTCAAAATTTTTGACTTGGATGGAAAGTTGTCTCATTGGCAATCATACCACATCTTCTTATATCTATTAACTAACCCAATTTTATCGCCAACTGATTGTTTGTTGCTTTTGTATATAAATCAAACTTGGGTTTCTTATCTAAACTTGTTTACTTTGTGTTACATCATCCAATATGGCTAGGCTTGTTATAGGTTTCTCATTATCATGATTATGTGGTACTGATTTTGCTCATTGTTGAAGGATGTGCAGTTACTAACAATTACATCACTTGGTCTAGGGTTGAAGGTTGTCTCATTGAAAATCATACCACATCTCCTTATTCTGGTTATTGTACATTCATGACATTATACATGTTATCATGGTTATACAAGACTACAATATTATCAAATAAATTATAACAATTGTTAATAATTGTCCGACTTTTGTTAACAAAAAGCAGCTATAATCAACATGGGAGACATGCAGTCAGGGGTACTACTTGTACAAGTAATTTTTATTTACTTGAAGAAGTAATATTAATATACTTATATAAGTAAATTTGTAGGATACTTATACAAGTGTATTTTATTTACTTGGTACAGGTAAAAAAAAATTGGCTTAGTTATGTCCCTTAGACATTCAGATTTTTTTACTTATATAAGTGAAAAAGTCATCCTATCTTCTTTTCTTGAATTCTTAGGACTTCTTTGCTCTAATAGAATTTTAATTAGTCTGTCCTTTGCAGATGTCTTAACTAATCATTTAAGTGTAATTTCATGGACAATGAAAATATCATTTGTCTGTTATCTTCAGAACACTGCTCATTTACAAGCCCCCAAGGAGCAATTTTTGAAGGCCTTGCCCAAGTACTTAAGATCTTTGCCCAATCAGTTTCTTTGTTGAATTAATGAGATGAAACATTGAACTCAAATAAAAAATTATGAGCTAACCTGGGAAAAATCATTAAAGGCATGTTTTTACATCTCAAAACTTGAAAATTTTTGTGGGATTGTAAAAAAAATTTACTTATACAAGTGAATTTTTGAGAAAATTAAGGGGAGATTATTCAAATATTATAATTAACTTATATAAGTATATTTTTTTTTTACTTCTTCAAGTAAATAAAGATTACTTGTACAAGTAGTACCCCTGACTGACATGATCAATGTTGATGTAACAAGAGTGACTGTGCACATGCTGAAATGTCATATCTGCTTTACCTACATGTAAAATTGAATTTATGTTGAATGTAAAAAATTAAATACATGTATGAAGGTTTTACTATATGTACAAGTATCACATAAACTTTCCATTATCAATTACCTTTGAAAATGAAGTCATGGTCAAATTAACCATGCCAGACAGATGATGTACACCCTACAAACTGACATTCCATACCCAAAATTTAGTGGTTTATAGTATCTGTGAAATAGACTTAACATCCAAACCATGAAAACTAAACATTGCCCAATGAAACATGAAAATGAGGTCATGGTCAGATTTAAAACCTCCCAATCAACATGATCAAACTTGTACAATTTACAAAAATATCCAATACGCCAAAAATAGTGATCCTATACATGTCATGCATGTACATGTAGTTTATAGCATCTGAGAAACATTGGGAAATAGACCAAACCA